GAATAAAATGTGCATACTTGGTAAGACGGTCGACTACCACCATGACTCCATTGAACCCATTCGAGAGTGGCAACCCCTCGATAAAATCCATGGTGATGTCCTCCCAAATACTTGCGGGGACCGGCAGAGGTTGGAGCAGCCCGCCTGGTCGACGTGCATCCGCCTTAGTGCGTTGGCACTCATCACATCGCCCAACGTAGTCGCGCACATCGCCCCTCAGCCCTGGCCAATAAAAAGTGCTCGCAATCCTCATCCATGTTCAGAACACCCCGGAATGTCCTCCAAACTTTGAGTCGTGGAAGTGCCGGATGATTTTCTCGCGCAACGATCCCGCATCAGGCACGACGACTCGACCATGATAAAGGAGCAAGCCATCGTGCATGTCATGGTCCTCGTCCTCGTCGTGTCCTACGTTCAGCTTCTCGATCACGTCCTGACAATGTTCATCCTTGTCTTGCGCTTTCCGAAGCTCGGCCCAAACGGCCCACGTCGGCCCCGTCACGGCGTCGAGCTCGGCTATGTCCTCCCGTCGAGACAATGCGTCGGCCACGGTGTTCTGGCGACCGAGCCGATACACTATCTCGAAGTCGAACCCCATCAATTTGGATACGAACTTCTGCTGCTCGGGCGTCATGATCCTTTGCTCGAGCAAGTGCTTGAGCGGCTGCTGGTCCGTGACAATCCGAAAACGCCGCCCAAGTAAGTACGGCCTCCATACGCGCACGACCTCGACCACGGCTAGCATCTCTTTTACGTATGCGAACAACCCTAAGCACGCCGGCCCGAGAGCCTTGCTGAGATAAGCCAAGGGTCGTCCTTCCTGTACTAGAACCGCTCCGATTCCAATGTCGCTCGCATCCGAGTGAATCTCGAACAACACATCAAAACTCGGCGTCGCGAGCACGGGTGTGGTCGTCATGGCCTTCTTTAGTTCCTCGAAAGCCTTCTCGCTCGCCTCCGTCCACTTGAATGCTCCCTTCTTCGTCATCTCCGTAAGTGGCTTTGCGATGGTCCCATAGTCCTTCACGAATTTTCGATAATAGCCCGTGAGGCCAAGGAACCCTCGCAACTGCGTTAAGCTCGTGGGTTTCGGCCATCCCACCATCGCCTCGATTTTTCTTCGATCCACCTTAACGCCATCATAAGAAATAAAGTGCCCGAGGTACTCGACCACTTCTTGAGCAAATGAGCACTTGGACGGTTTGATGTAGAATGAGTTAGCCTCCAAAATCCCCAAGACAATTCGCAAGTGCTCGAGATGATCTGCCCATGTTTTCGAGTACACCAAACTGTCATCAAAGAATACTAATACAAACTTACGTAGGTACCTCTTAAAAATTGAGTTCATGGCAAATTGAAAGGTCGACGGTGCATTGCACAACCCGAAAGGCATCACGAGATATTCGTAGTGCCCTTGGTGCGTGCGAAAAGCCGTCTTGGGCACGTCCTCCTTGGCCAATCTGATCTGATGGTAGCCCGCGCGCAGGTCGAGTTTGGAGAAGTAACGCGCGCCACCCAACTCATCCAGCATGTCGTCGACGCTCGGAATGGAAAAGCGATCCTTCACAGTAGCCACATTGAGAGCGCGATAGTCCGTGCAAAACCGCCATGTTCGGTCCTTCTTCTTTGCGAGCAACACCGGTGACGAGAACAGACTCGAGCTATGCTGGATGAGCCTGGACTCGAGCATCTCGCCCACCTGTCGCTCGATCTCCGCCTTTTGGAAGTGTGCGTATCGATACATATGCACGTGCACTGCTCGACCTTCCTCGACCAAAGGTATGCGGTGGTCGAACTCTCGATGTGGCGGCAGTCCCTTGGGCTCGTCGAGGACCTGGTCGAACTCCTCGAGCAAGTGACGCACCTCGCGCTGCCTCTCCTCGACCACCTGGTCGAACTCCTCGAGCACCTCCGCATCCTTACATGTCTGCTCGACCACGACAGCGTACAACTGTCCACCACCTCGCCACACCTTCTCGATATTTTTTAGACCAACCTCCTTGGTCGATCCCTCACTAGCCTTCAAGGTAACGAGCTGATCACCGGCCTCGAACTTCATCACACCTTTCCGGTAATTAGTCGTCACATCTCCTAGTCCCTCGAGCCACTGCACCCCAAGCACCACATCCGGTCCCACCAAAGATAAGGCAAACAAATCCGCCTTCACCGTCACTCCTTGAAACTTGATCGGCATGCCCCGATACATCTCCGAGCACCGCAAGCGCTCGCCATTCGCCACCCTAACCTCGAACGGCTCAATTGTGGTCGTGGGCAACTTGAGTTTGTGCGAGAGAGTCGCATTAATGAAATTGTGCGACGACCCATTGTCCACGAGTACCGTAACCCGCCGATCCCTCAACCACGTCGGTAACTTCATAGTCCTCGGGCCTTTAGTGCCCGCCATCGCATGGACTGAGATCTCGGCCTCATCATTGAGCACCTCGACCTCCACCTCCTGTTCTTCCTCGACAACCAGCTCCTCGTCATCCGAGTCCATGAACTCGATCAAGAAATTCTGCTTGCACCGATGTCCCGACGTGTACTTTTCCTCGCACCGGAAACACAGCCCTTTCTCACGTCTCCGTGCCATCTCCTCCTCCGTCAACCTCTTCACCTCAGTTGCTGGGGGTCTAAATGTGCCCGGCGGCCTTGCGTTTGCACTAGGTGCGCCCACGGTCGCCGGCACACGCCGCGGCTCTGGGACACGAAAATTCGCCCGTCCCCTTCGAGTTGCGGCCAAGTGATCCTCCCTTCTCCTAGCAACTTCCATGGCCTTATGCATGGTCTCCGGCCTCTCCAATCGCACTTCAGCCACGAGATCATACCTAAGCCCTCAACCAAACGCGCCAACAAGCGCGCTCTCTGGCCACCCGCGAACCCGGCACGCCAATCTCTCGAACTCTTTTTGGTATTCACGTACACTCCCCGTCTGCCGGATCTGAGTTAGCGCCTCGTCGTGGTTATGATCGTCTGAGTTCCTGAAACGCGTAAGGAGCTCGTGTTCAAAATCTTCCCAACGGATTGGTTGTTGCCGCCCGCGATACACGTGCGTGAGCCACTGCCACCACACGTTGGCCTCACCATCTAAATAGTATGCGGCATAACGAACCCAGTCACATTGCGGCATCTCATTTAAATCGAAGAATTGCACCACCCTGTTCAGCCAAGCGTCGGGGTTCGTTCCCGTGAACGTCGAGAGTGCGATCCTTGGCTTCTCGACGCAAGCTCGCTCATGTACATTCGATGCCTGCAACCTCTGTTCGTATTTTTCCTCCTCCTCGAGGTTGTGCTCAGCCCGCTGCTGCTCCTGTTGCCTTAGACGCTCGCGTGCATTCACCCGTGGTGGCTCCTGCTGCTGCTGTCGCTGGAACCCGCACAACACCTCCTCCAGGCGCTGCTCGAGGCGAGCCACGGCAACGTTGGTGCTGACCTGACCTTCGTCGAGCGATCCAAACCGATCCTCCATGCTCTCGCTCATGGCCTTGAATTGGACTTCCAATCCTTCAACCTTTTCTTTCAACTCACGATTGGCCA